CCAGTGGCCACAATAAGTATTTACACCACTGGTATCCTGCCACATGTAAATACTTCCGGTATTGTGGCAACCACAAGAGCACCTGGCTTTAGCCACTGTAAGGTGAGGAGCGCCACCGTAGGCGGAAACGTGTGATTTTAATAGCGAAAATTAAATTGCGTTTTGACCACATTGACAGAGCAGAGAAAATATACTAGACAACAGATTAAGTTGAAATTATGAGATAAAAACATTTTGCATGTAAAAAAAACAGTTTAGGTTTCAGCAGAAATAACACGTTACACTTTGCATGTAATAGATTTGGGGAGAAAAGTCTTTACAAAAAGATACTTTACAAGATACTTTTATTTGTGACATATGTATGTATTGACATACAATCTAATAAAGGCTAACTAAACTAACTAACTGGGCAAAAAAAGACACGAATAAAGTGCAATGTGCAGTAAATGGAACAATTTACATTGATGTTACAGACAGTGAAAAGTAGTGAAGTGAATTTGTTCAATAAGAAGCAAAAAACAAATACATTTGAAAGTGACCGCTACATAGGTGTCAAAAGAACACATTTTTCTTTACTCGAGTAAAAGTATAGATACCTCTGTTTAAAAATACTCTAGTAAAACTATTGACTCGTGTTTTTACTCAAGTGGAAGTAAAAATTACAGGCTCCAAAACATACTTAAAGTACAAAAGTAAAAAGTAAGGTAAAGTAAAAGTAGAAAGTAGGCACTAAAAAGTAGCAAAGTAAAGGACAGATACCCCAAAAGTCTAGTAAAGTACATTAACAAAGTATTTCTACTTCGTTTCTTTCCATCTCTGATGCCAACAATAAATCATATTTTAATGCAAAATGTGGTTTAAAGACTCCAGCTGTCTTACTTAAACCAGAGCCAGGAAACAAACATATCTGTGTTTCTCTGCATGGAGCAAAAATTACAAGTTTAAAAATGACCGTTTTAAATATTTCCATGTTGTAACGCGTGATCAGTGTAAGCGGACTTGTTGATTCCTACTAACGGTGAAAGACTCTGTTCCAACCTTTACGATCCACTTGCGCGGTTTGCAAGTCACGTGTTTCTGCCTACTGTGGTGGTGATCTGTGGCGCTCCACAGTGGCTGCAGTGTTCGTGATCGCCGGTATTTAAACAGCTGTAAATGACATGTTAGACTAGAATCTGTGAAACATGTTATGAAGGAAATTTCTTTGTTAAGAGTGAAATAACAACAAATATAACACAACAGTTCTGTAAAGATATTTAAGTTTCCAAAAGTTTGGATTGATTATAATGTAGAAACAATAATCATACAGTCATAAAGTTGCCTAAAAACAGGGCATTTATTTGTTTTGTGTAAATCCTGTTGACTAAAGTCTAATTGGCATTTTAGGTAAAGACGTTACACATAAAAACATACACAACATTTTTTGGCCCAACACCGGTATCGATTTCAAAATAAAATGCCTGTATTGGCTTTTATTCTTTTACTGATGATGTTGGGTTTTGGTCATTACATTAAACACTGTTTACCTTTTTTCACCGTTTTTATCGCCGCCTGATGGACAAACCTGAAACTACAACAACAGCAAACTGTCATGGCGGCTGCCACAAGGCTCATCTCAAGGTTGACGCTGGTCACCGGTTAGTTTATGTTTTACTACAGATCATTCACAAAGAAATAAACCCGACCGTTTCTTTTTGTCTCAGATGTTTTTGCTCCGTTAAACCGGAAGAGGTTTTCTCCGTTATCTCCGCAGCTGAAGGAAACTCGCGCTTCGTTAAACTTCTCTGCGAGTTCAGAGCAGCTGTGAAGTTTCAGACTGACGTTCAGACTAAGGAGATTTATTTTGTATCATGTGAAGCTGTTCAAAGTATTCAGCAGCAGCTGATTCATATGTAATTAGACGCATCTGTGCAGCTCGGTTATTGTTGCCGTGGAATAAACTGACGACAGGAAAGGATCGTTCATATAGCCCACTCCTTCTTCCGGTCAGTTTCTCTAGCAAATATTCCCAAAGATAACAATACATTATTTTTAATGCACACTAATTAATTATTCAGAGTTTAGGCTGCTTGCAGGTTATAAAGAGATTAAAATTTAGGCTCCAGCTCAACATCTGATGCATAATAAATTTCACCTGTGGAGAAAATGTGAGTTCATATTGTGTTTTAGTGGAGATAATGTTTTTTATCGTAGCTCAGGTTAGTTTCCTGTCCTTTGCTCCTCGTGTTTAAGTCATTTGTAGTAAATCGCAACCTTTCATTTTAAAACAGGAAACACAAACATCAGAAACGTTCATTTCCAGGCAGGCAGCACATCAGCAGCTCCTAAACTATTAAATGTGGATGTTTAATCAGAGCAGGAAGCTTTGAGCGGACCTGAGAGCCCTGCAGTCGTGTTTTCACGACTAACTCTAGTCCAGATGTTTTTGTGGGGACTTTTGTTTTCATTTCAGAAACATCCTGAGCTCCTGACGCCTCAGACAGCAGCGTCTCAGGCTGCTGTTTCCTCCTCTCTGCTCCTGCTCTGACTTCATGCTCCTCTCTTCCCACCCAGGTGGAGGCAGTGGGATTGGGCGGGCGGTGTGCCAGCGTTTGGCCTCTGAGGGCGCCTCCGTGGTGGTCGCTGACATCAGCGAGGAGTCGGCCAATGAGACGCTGGGGAGTCTGCAGAGCGACCTCAGAGGTCAGGTCCACACGGTGGCTGTAGTGGACGTGTCGTCTAAAGAGAGCATCAAGAAGCTGGTAACGAGCGTGCAGGTGAGAACAACGCTCCTGCTGCGCGTTCGTCTTTTCCTCCTCCTCCTTCTTTAACGTAAGCTCGTTCCTCCTGCAGACTCGGTACTTCCAGCCTCCCTCGGTGTGCGTGAACGCAGCCGGCATCACTCAGGACGACTTCCTGCTCAACATGGAGGAGGAGCAGTTTGATAAAGTCATCCAGATCAACCTGAAGGTAGGCGGCGCTGACACCTGGCAGCTTCTCCTCCATCTCACCCTGCAGGCTGAGAGACGACTGAACACAGTTTAAAATGATGTGAACAGCAGAGCAGTGACGGGCTGTTTATTTGTTTCCTGTTAGTGATTAAATCCACTTGAGTCACAGGTAAAAATATATTTGAATCTTGTGTTAGATCAGAGTGAAAGGATTCATTTTTCTCTCCCAGGGTTCATTCTTGATCACTCAGGCGGTCGCTCAGGCTCTGGTGGCCTGTGGAGCGCCCAAAGGATCCATCATTACTGTGGGCAGCATCGTGGGAAAGGTGAGATATGAGCAGGCGCGGTTTGGGTCACAGTTTTGTACAGAAACATAAAAAAATGAGTCAAAGTTGGAGATTTTTGTTCTTTAGTTTAATTTAAAGGGAGAAAATAAAATAACAAAAATAATTAAAGACAGAAAAAAAATCTCATTGGTCATTATTCTGTTTACACACACAGAAGTAAAAAAACACCCGAACATAAACCTGTGGGCAGGCTTTGAGTTTACAGTTCTGTATAAACTGCCCTGTTTATGTCTCTGGTTCCAAACCTGCACATTATTAATGAAACTCTGAGTTTTTACTCTGAGGATGAAGCTGAGCTGACAGCAGACTGAAGTCTCAGCAGTGACTCGTCCTGCAGCTCCACTCTAGTCGAGATGCATTCAGTGTCCTGTGAGACGATCGAGTCACGACAGTTTCAGCGTCAGTTTATTTTCCTGCTTGACTTTTTTTGAGTTTCTTCGCATCTGTTTGAAATTAATTGTATTTACATTTTATTTTTACATCTTAATTGATATATTTGTGTAAATAAAAGCTCCAACTCAGAATTGGATCTTGTGTTTGTGCTGGCTTCAGGTAAAAGTGCAGTGCATCATCCTGCAGATGATGTCTGAGTTTTTGTTGCCTTGAAGTTTTCAAAGTAAAAGACCCATGAAAGATATTGTATTCCAGAAGCAGCTTTAAAAACCACTGCAGATGTTCCTCACTCTGTGGGGCCTTTATGGTTTATGGGGCCTTTATCTCATGTCTGTGTTGTGGTTGTTGTTTGCAGGTAGGAAACATCGGTCAGGCTAACTACGCTGCCTCTAAAGCTGGAGTCGAGGGTTTAACAAGGACCGCCGCCAAAGAGCTCAGCAGGTAAAACAAAGTGATGCAGCGAGGCGCATGAGCTGACCGGAAACTCACCTGTGTCTCCGCCTCTCTCCCTCCAGGTTTGGGATTCGCTGTAACTGCGTGCTGCCGGGGTTCATTACGACTCCAATGACAGATAAAGTGCCAGAGAAGGTTATTAGCAAGGTACAACACACACACACACACACACACACACACACACACACACACACACACACACACACACACACACACACACACACACACACAGGTACCTGCTGAATGTGACGTGAAGCCAAAATAAAACATTTGATTATTTTAGTTTTTTCCTTTTTTCAAAACATTTTCCTGGAGTCTGATCACTGCAGCGAGCTGTTAAATATCATAAAAACTCATAAAAATATTGTGACTGAAACAAAGCTGCCAACACATTTATTTACTTCCTGCTCCTCAGTGAAGCTGCAGCCATGTTTGTGTTTCAGATCGAGTCCTTGGTGCCTCTGGGAAGGATGGGCGAGCCGGCGGGTCAGTTTCACATCACTGATGCTTTTCACTGTCACTCTTCATCCAGGACATCAGATTCATACATGTGTCGTTCTGCTCACGCCGACACCAGCTGCGTTTAAATGAACACAAAGCTGTTGGATGAGTGTGATTTGTCCAAACATATATGTGGAACATGAGAACATCAGTGTTTCTGCATTTTAGAGTCATCAGCCACTTTAACGAGTGTTAAAATAGGACTGTGTTAGAAAACAGGAGTCACACTGAAACTGTGTCACACACACAACTGTTCAAAATACAGACAAAATTCACTTTTTTGCGTTTTTCTCAGAGAATCACGAGAAACAGATCAAACATCTGCTTCATTAGGATGATGTTGACACTGTGACACTCACAGCGGGGAAACAATGATTGACGAGTTGAAGTTTTTCAAACAAATGTGTTTTTCAATTCTGAAAAAAAAGTTTAGAGGGCTCAAAAATGCTGAAACAAATAATGCATATTGAAAAAATGCATAATTTCAGCCCAGCCGGTGCTCTCTGACAGCTGTAACTCAGAGAACGTTGGTAGCATGAAGGTGAACGTTTGCATGGCCTCATAAAACAAACTAAAGTTAATTCATTAAAAAGATCAGCTGATCGGCTCTTTGTGTCCTCCAGAGGTCGCTGATGTCTGCGCCTTCCTCGCCTCGGACGACTCTCGGTACATCACCGGAGCCAGCATCGAAGTGACAGGTGCAGTTTCTCTATAAACTTTTCATTTCACATGACAAATGTTTTCAGTTTAACGAGAATACCAACACATCAGGACTCGTCTTTCTTTGTCAGGCGGACTTTTCATGGGTTAAATCAGCCGTCCGGCGAGCGCACGACTGAAGACCGTGAGACTAGTTTCTACGTAATTATTAATTTTTGACTTGATTTTGATTGCGTGAATGTTTTTGTAATTTTGATGTGAACCTGTCACATGTTGTCTTAATAAACACTAGAATGTAATGTTGAATCTGAATGAAGCTTTAAAAAAGTTTTAACATGTTTGTGTGTTTTTGGGGCACAGCTGGTTTGAACCAGCTGCTTGTTTTAGTTTTTAGTGTCTCCACACCATCATCACCACCAGAGCCTCCTCAGGCTTCCTGTCTTCTCTGAGAAGGTTTACATAATAACTCTGGCTTTAAAAACATTGTTGGAGGTCAAAGGTCAGCACACACAGTTTGAACCTGAAGGCTGAGCGTCCTCAGATGTTGCAGGTGTTTAACTCTGAGCTGTGAGCCGAGGTGCTGCAGGCCTTTCAGGGCTGTTTGTTTCATAATCGGAAGCATCTTTGCTCCATCTGTGCTGCAGTTTTTCTGTCTTTTATTGTTGAAACCACAGCACTTTTCACTTTGAGTCGTCTTCAGCAGAAGCTGTTTCTCAGCTAAACATGTGAGTTTGGAAACAGGACCCATAATCTCAAAGACGACGTAGCAGCACATTACGTCCCCCTCTGAGTGACACAGCTGGGCTTGTCTTAATTTTAGAAGTTTAAATACAGCCGCTGAGAGGAGGAGAGAAAAACAATAACGATGCCAAAATCTGTCTGCAAAACACTCGAGCAAAGAAAAACTGAGGTTTCTGTTTTTGTCTTTATAAAAAGTGAAGCAGCTCTGAAACAATCCTGTCTTTTACTCACAAACACATTAAATGTCTGAAAGCATTTTGAAATAATTACTTGCAGAGAACAAAGTTACGCTAACGAGGTTAACGAGTTAATCCCAGTTCTTTAAAAGTCTGTGACTAGTGATGAAACCGAACTGATGCTGATCTAGAGGAAAACAGGGGCATAATTTCAGAATGGCCACAAGATGTCGCTGTTTCACCTTCTAGTAACAAATAGAAACAGCAATCACTAAAGTAGACCATAATAAATATTTAATGGAGAGCACATAAACAATTTGAAGTTAAGGATATTTTGTTATATTACCAAGACATAAATTAATATTGTCACCAATACAGATTATGCTACTAAGGATTTGGGGAAAATACATTAAAGTAAGTAAAAAAAAACATGAAGCTGATCCAGAAGATAACTTCATTAAAAAATGCACATAAATAAAAACATAATTACCAAGAAAACCTGTAGAGCTCTTTAAACTGCTAAATAATAAAGCATTTAAAATACATTATTAATAGACATCATTCCCTATGTTGTTGCCTATGAACAAGTACTTTGACAAATAGCGACACCTTGTGGCCCTGTGCAGTAAAATCATGACAGCAGTCTGGAAGAAAAACAAGAGTCAAGCAGCTCTTTTTAAAAAGATTATATATTACAGAAACAAGAATTTAAAAAAATTACTTACAGACATTATAAAATACTTTTTTCTTTTTTCAGCACCATATTTTTATGTTGAAACGGCTTCAACACAATAAAAACAAACAAATATTTGAGGTCATTCTCTCTGGAGGAGGGCAGATTTTTTTGGTTTTGGGTTTTTCGGTCATCCATCCTCCGGTTTCCTGCTATATATATTTAAAAAAGCACAAACAAATAAAACCAGAACCCCAGAATTAAATCGCCCAATCATTTTTCACTTTCCATCCCACGGAGGCGGACGACCTTCGCCCCCCTGCCTCTCTCACAGCCTCTCTCCCCCCCGTGGTGGTTCAGTATCTTTACCATCACAGCTCAGATCGATGCAGACTTTAAGTAAAAAGTTGTTCCGCGATTGCAAACCTGCAAAAGCCAACAAGTGAAACAGCAGCAAGGACAGGGACGTGACAGAGGTGGAGAGTCACCGTTTAATCATTACAGTGGAAGCAGGATGTAACAGCACAGTACAGTCGATGCAAACACTAAGACGGGATCTTACAGTAACGTGTGGCCACAGATTCTTATTTTTATTCCGTACAAAAGGAGTTTGAACAGGGCGGTGAGTTTGACCTTCAAGTGTCAGCTGCAGGAAATAAATACAAACCACATGTGACTGAAATATTGGTTGGTTCTTGTTTTTTTAATCTCAAAGCACCCTGTTAATTTTAAATAAATACAATAGAATATCACTATTTCTGTACAAATGGTATGTAATGCACATCTTCCCCAGGTACAAGCTTCATGAATTAGAAGAGACTACAGGAAGGAGTCGGAGTGGACACTACACCTTTGACACGTTTGTGTAATTAGCACCTTACCACACAGGTCAGTAAAAGCGTGCATTTTTATTTGCTGCTGCAGGAAAAACAGGAGGAATCTCTGAAGCTCAGACATGTTTAAACACTGATGGAAAACAACAAAGAGTCCAGACTCAGCAAACACCGGAGCGGCGTGGTGTTAGCGGCCTCGGTGAGGAGTGATTTAAAGAATCAGGTCACCAGCAGCATGCAAATACAACAGCACTGCATTTAGCACAGTTTACAAAATGAATGGCTTTGATTTCACTGATCACACGTCTCTCCTGCCTCGTGCATGCATCACATCGGCTCAGCGCGGTCTCGCTCCTCTCGGGTGGAGGAGGGATTGTCCTGCACCTCGCCACACGTTAACCTCGGTGCTCAGTTCCCTGTGTTTCTGCCGGTGTCGTTAATTCTTTGGTTCCTTAAAGTGTAAAAAGATCTGAATGTTGCTCTGTAAACAGCATGGCTGAAGAGTCGCCCCTGATGACCTCACAAAGAGCTTCATCTACAGCTCAGGGGAACGTTTCTGACCTCTGGCTGTTCTTTTATGGTTTGTCTCCTGTTTTGATTTCATGTGATTTTAACTGCATCACAGATAAAGGCGGCTGCACGGGAGCCTCTCACAGCCTGAGCGACCGTCAGTCATGCTGCCTGCAGAGTGAATGTAGATTAAGGAAGTGGGAATGAGTGTGACCCGTTTCTGGGAGGAGATGTTGGATGGGGAGGTAGAGGGGCATCAGACCTCAGGTTGCCGGCTCGCTCTCAGGTCGGTGACGTTAAAGAAAACACTGTTTTATGTTGAAGGACGCTCCCTCCTGACTTTATCTTCGTCTCTCGCGGCGGTCGAAGGTCTCCGCAAGTTTTTCAGATTTCTCTCCTCTTTTTTTTGTTTTTGTGACGTCCATTAATTGTTGGGAGGATGTTGGTTTCCCCGGGCACGCACTTTACTGTGAGCGTGTGTTTGTCTCACAACAACTGCATGTATATGTAAGTGTGTGTGTGTGTGTGTGTTTTATATCATTTACAAATTAATTTACAAATTACTGGGCATGAATGTTTTTTTCATATATAAGTGTGTCTCTAAGTGTGTGTGTGTGTTTGCATGTATTGTGTGTGTTTGTGTTCTTAGGCTTGGAAACAAACAGGTCCCACTTCAAAACCAAACTGCTGGTTTTTCTCCCCAAAGTCTGACACCTTGATATCCCGCAGAGGAAGATGCTCCAGCTGTGGCGTGCTGATCTCCAGGACCGTCCTGTCGAAGCCCTTACGATACTGAGGAGAGACACAGAGACACGCACGTCAGGAAACCACAAAATGAAAAAGGTTTATAAAGTCTGTGTTTGTTGGCACATTAGGCTGAAGTTAGAGCAGACGTGGTTCTTCTCCTTATATAAAACAAACTCTCCTGTTGCACCTGCTCAAAAACAAACAGCTAAACACTTCATAAAATCCTCTAAATGGTCCTCTTGTGTTTTGCAGCTACATGTGAAACTGTTTGTCATCATAGTGTAATTAGTGATCGTTCTCAAAGATCCCATAAAATGAAAAACTGTCTGTTATTGATGAGGAACGTGACAGTGTGGGGTTAAACTCTCGTGCTTTCTCCAACAGCTCAGTCACACGACATAAAACTCCAACCTCTTTGTGACAATAAGTAAAAAAGCGGCTGCTCTCAACTTATGAGTGAATGTTTTTGATCTCAAGGCGACCGTCTGGTGTAAGGCGAACTGTCTCCAACCAATCACAGTCCAACTTGGACCGACTGCAGTCACCCTCAGACAGATTGGTGAAGGTTTGCCAATAATTTCTGCTTTATCTACAAACACAATTTGCGCAGATGTTGCAATAATTATAATAATTAATCTGAGTCAGTCTGCATCGATGAGCACAGCTCGTCTGTTTTGTGTTTCTTTGCAAACAGCAGACTCGACTCATCTGGTTGCATTTCTGGTTTAAACTATGCAAAAGTCTCGAGTCTGCTCTTATTTCTTCATGTTTGTCTCACTTGGAGTCAGACTATCTTTACATTTTTTAAGGGGTCAAAGTTTTTTTTTGCACATCGTCTAGTTTTTCATTACTTTCAGTTCATCCTTGTACCTGAGCATTTTCAGAGGGAACAGGTCAGAGTTCATAGATCAGTGTTAAACCAGTTAAACCAGTTAAACATTCAATCATTCAATCAAGAATAAAAAAGGCACCTGACTCAGCATGAATCAGTATTCTGTCTACAGAAAACAAACAACTGTAGGCAGTTTGTTCCATTTCTTTGGCTGAATCTATGAAAAATTAAAACAATGACACTTTAACAGACAGAAAATCGTATTTTGTGATTCCCAAAGAGCGACTAGTTGGAAACATATCTCAGCATGCTGTGCAGTGTGTCCTTAAAAAATCTGAGGAAACTGGACAAGATCAAAGTAGTGGTGATAGTCCTAAAAAAAACTATAGCAGCACCGTCCTGATGCACCAAAGTTGCACAGAAGTTCTCAACTGACTGTGAGTTGTCGTAGACCTGCTCTCTGTCTGCAAAGCAACCGTTTCCAAGGGAATGAAAGCTCAATAATTTAAAAACACTGTTTTTTCTAATGTGACTGCAACATCACAGAAAAAGAGGCAGCTTAATTTACTAGGACTGGATGAGTGTCAGACTAACTCTGGTCCATCATACATGGTTACGATGGTCCAGAGGAAAGATGTGACAGCTCCCCATAACCTTCAGTAACACGGAGCCTTTAACAGGTCTGGATGTAGTTTTGTGTGTGTGAACTCACAGAGCAGCCATCGATCAAGGCTTTGATGTACGGGTTGGTCTCATAGCTCAGCTCCTCGTCGTTGGCACCCAGGAAGTGCAGCGCCCTTTGGTAGTTGTTCTCGGCGCTTTGGTCGGCCCAGGCCACGGAGCGGTGGCAGTGGTAGGTGAGGTTCTGACGGGCCTGGACGCTCAAGAGGCGCAGGAAGCCCAGCTGGACCACGCCCACGGGATCACCGTTGGAGTCGACGTAGGAGAACTGGGAGGAGGATGAGAAAGGAGAGGATTTAATGATAAGACAACAAGCAGCAAGGAGGAAAAGTGTAAGATGAGTGTAAGGATGCAAACAAACGAGGGAAAGAAGGTTAAACAGGTCAAGAACTAAACTATTAAACTTTTAATTACGAACCTTACTACCAGTGGAAAACTGACTGTACCACGATCCTGGAGTCTCTTTGTCCCAGGAGCTCATCTCCACCTGTGACCACAATGATCCACGTCACACATTATAGTTAAAGTTTCATTTAAACTCAGTTTTCACACAGACAGATAAAAACACCTTTTTTTTTAACCTGGGCGGCAAATTTCCTCAACGTTACTGCTCTGACATCTTAGTTTTATTATAAATGTTAAATCATTTTTTAGTTTTTTACATATAAATGAGAAAATAGAAAATAGAAACCACCACAAACGCTTCAGGAACCCAAACATGTTGGAAATTTAACCAAATTATTATGAGTTTAGTTAATAAACCTGTTTTTTTGACACAGTTGTTGTTTTTCCAGATTGCTGGACTGACCGTGTTGACGTCCTTGCTCGGGTACAAACACGTCTCTCCAGCAGTAAAGTTACAGAAGACCTTGAAGGAGTCTCTGGAGCAGCCCTGATTGGGGTCGATCCAGTACTCTCCTGCAGGGGGCGACAGAGAAAAGAGGTGGGAAAATGTAAAAGTCTGACTTTGACTCTTACAGATGTTCATTCATCATCGTCCTGGTACTGATATAAGTGCCAGGATCAGCTGCCAGGTTTGTTTTGGGTTTCGTGGTTTGTTTCCGTTACCGTCTTTGAGGTCCGGCTGGCTGAGGTTCAGGTCCTGGCAGGTGCGCGCGGGGCTGTCCTGAGTGCCCAGAGGGAAACGCATTGTCTCGATCTCTTGACGGAGGGAGTTGAGAGAGCCAAAGATCTCCTCCATGCCTTCGCTGCCCATCAGGAACTCGGTGCCGGCAGTGTCAGATGCCGGCATGTCAGGGTCAAACTCTGGCGCCAGCTGGCTGGCATCGATGGAGCGTTTGGACTTGGGACTCCTCTGGATGGGCAGCGGCTGAATGACCTCACCAGGTGGGCCCTGGGAAGCAAGTTTACATCATTAACTGCAGTTCAGAGAGCACACGGAGAAGATTTAAATGAAGAAAGGTGGAGTACTGACAGGAGGTCCAGGAGGTCCTTGTACTCCTTTTTCTCCCTTTGGTCCAGCTCCTCCCTAAATCCAGCAGGAAAAGGAAAGAAGCATTACATCATCACATCCATTCATCTTTGAATTTTACTGACACTGCACTCATGTTAGCGTGGTTACTCACAGATGCACCCTTAGCTCCTTTGATACCTTGAGGACCCTGGAAAAGATGTCAGACTTTAATAAAACGGCTTCAATGACAGGTTTCAGGAGCAGGAGGAGGAAGAATGACGTCATGTTCCTGGAATAAAACAGCACAAATACTTACAGGAAGACCAGGAGGACCAGCAGGGCCGAGGGGTCCGGTGCCTCCAGAAAGTCCCTGTGTTACAAGACATGAGAATCATTTCCATAAAAAAAAAAGAGTCAAATAAAATAAAGGTTTCACTGCCTGCTCTTCATCATGTGACAGAGGTCAAACTTACGGACTCTCCTTTGGGTCCAGAGGATCCCTGAGGCCCAGGAAGGCCTCGGTCTCCCTTCTCTCCCTGCTCTCCCGGAGGTCCGATGAGACCGATAAGACCTTGGTGACCCTTCTCTCCCTTGGCTCCGGGGTCTCCACGCAGGCCGGGCAAACCAGGCGGTCCCTGCAGGAGGAGAAGCAGAGAAAGAAGGAAAGAAGAGGACGAAAGCAGGAGGACAGACGAGAAGAGGAAAGATGGAGGATTAAAGAAGGCAGCAGGAGCAAAGTGCAGCGTGACGGAGCATCAAGTGCAAACTTTGTGTTTGCTCTTACCAAAGGTCCAGGCGGTCCTTTCTCTCCAGCAGCTCCTGGTAATCCTTGTCCACCCTGAAACACAATTATTAACACACTTAGTGAGTGAACAGCAACACATCAAACAACAAGTGTCACACACACACACAGTGAATTTGTTTAGTTGCTGTTTGAATAAACCCAAAAATGACTGATCAACTGAACTGACCACTGATCCTGGGAGTCCTCGAAGACCTTCGGTTCCTGGTTTTCCTGGTTGACCCTGAGGGCCGACAGGACCCGTCTTTCCTGGGGGACCGACTGCACCTGGATCTCCCTGTGAAGGGTGACGCCAAAGAAACAGGATTCAAAGATTCCTTCTTTGCATCAGTAAAAGTTATGCAACACAAAAATAAGATTGATAAGAAAACAGAGTTAATCATTTATTGTAGAATCATTATTAGAAATAAAGGGTCAGTAATCAGATGTAAACATAGTTTCGTCTTATCATCTGAGAGCTTATACTCACTGTGATCTGTGCAGATCATTTAGTAACTGAAGGACTCACCTTGGTTCCCTTCTCTCCCTGACGTCCCTCTGCTCCTCTTGCACCAGCAGGACCCTGACATGTAAATGAGGTAACAGTGCATCAGTGAACATAAGTGACAAAACACTGTATTCCTTCAAAGTTAATAAGCTTTCACTAAATCGTATAAATGAATTGTATTTTACATAGAAGCCATTTAAATACGACTGCAGGAAAGAAACAGAATAAATGTTTGATGGTGTCCAGGATGCTGCGCTCAGGTTGGGTGTTTGGGTGATGATACTCTAAACATGACTGGTCAGTAAACACAACCTTATATGCTCGGGTAAATAAAAGGTCAAACTGCAAAACTCTGTGATTGTTTTCACCCTTTTTCAAAAGCTGGAAGCATTAAAAAAATATTGGCTGCATGAAAAACTTGTTACTTAAGTGATCTTTCACAGCCATCAGACTGAGTGATCTTACCCTCTTTCCTGGGGGTCCAGGAGGTCCGTTCTCACCAGGAGGTCCGGGGGTGCCCTGCGATAGGAGGCAGAATGAAAAGATTGATCCCTTGAAAAATTATATAAATGAAACTTGTCTGTTTTGGATATTTACTAAAACAATATATGAAAGTAATGAGAAAGTGGCCACTTTCATGAGTATTTTATAAGTTTTTACTGTTTCTTTTCCACATGGGTGAGGAGCTGGATCATTTCTAATCCTTCATTTCTGCATCGCTGCATCTTTTTTACTCACAGGTTCTCCTGCTTCTCCGTCCTCTCCTCTCTCTCCCTTGGCACCATCCTGGCCCTAAAAACAAAGACGATGATGTCAGAGGTTTTCTTTGGGTTGTTCGGTTCAGCACGAAGCTCAAACAGAGGCTGAACTGAACTGTCTGCAGCTGTGGAGCCACATTTAACATCTCTGTAAATAAATAAACGTGAATCATTCAAAAACGACACTTACTCTGGGTCCAACCTCACCAGGGGGGCCGGGATCACCAGGGAAACCAACAGGACCCTGAAATTAATACAAAAAGATCAATGATTAAACACAGTAAAGAGATCGGCGGTCACTGATCTGTGCGGCAGTCTGTGTATGTTCTGGTGTGTCCGGTTCTCATACTGGGTTTCCTTTGGGCCCATCGTCTCCTGGTCCTCCTCGTCCTCCGGCAGGTCCAGCAGTTCCAGGTTGGCCCGCCTCTCCCTTCTCTCCGCGCTCTCCACGAGGACCCTGTCCACAGAAGTACAGACCTCGTTGTTTGCTCATGGATGATATTTAGATATCAGCGACAGCATGAGCTCCTGATGCATCGGCTCAAAAAAGCATTAAGATCACGCCGCTCACCTTCTTTCCAGCCTCTCCTACGATTCCAGGTGGTCCGGCCTCACCGGGCTCTCCCTGTGGAACAAATATCACATATTTTAATCCAGTTTTTCTCTTTTTGGACACAAAGCTGTAAAAATATTCCTTCAGTACTGCACCTTCTCTCCAACAGCCCCAGGATTACCAATACCACCAGGAGGACCTTGAGGACCCTGAAAACAGACAAAAACTGATCAAATAATTTCCATCAACAGTTACTTGGAGGAAAAAGTATCAGATAATCTACTTTAATTAATGCTGAACATGAGTTTCATGAGAAATTAATCTGCTAAAATTAACTTGATGGAAAAGGAGCGAGTTTCACAGAGGTTCAGTAAAAGCTCCAAACACTCACGTCAGCTCCGCTGGGTCCAGCAGGGCCACGGGGTCCTGGAGGGCCTGGAGGACCCTGGAAACATAAAGAGGATTTGGTTTTTATCATCATTTTATTTATTTTGTCGCATACATCATTACCAGTTATTACAATATTCATGTGTTTGTGAAACTCACCATAGGTCCGACATCTCCCGTCTCTCCTTTCTCCCCAGATGGTCCTGGCAGTCCCTGCAGAGCAAAGGTCAAAGTTCTGGATTAGGAGCTTTGCACAAGAGCGATGCTCGAACTGCACGAGTATTGACATCAAATCCAACGTAAAGAAAGGAAGTGTTGCTGCTTTTTGACATTTTCATGTTTTTACCTGGAGTCCGATGGGACCTGGGGCTCCTGGGAAGCCTCGGGTTCCCTCGTCACCTTTAGCTCCGAAAGGACCCTGCTGCCCCCTCGGTCCAAGATCTCCATCAGCACCCTGCACCACAGAAGAAGAAGAAGAAGAACAAGGACAAAAACAGGAGATAAGAACAGTTAATGTGCTGACTGGATGGATCTAAACTCCTCATCATATCAGGAACAATCTTGTAAATTCATCACATAACTACATTTTCATTTTAACAAGACCTTTATCAAATCTGTAAAGTAAAAACTGCAGCCATCATCAAATGCATGCACTTGTAATAAAAAGGAGTTTCTACTCACAGCTGGACCAGGCTGACCTACAGGACCGAGCGGCCCGGGTGGACCAGGAGGACCCTGCAAATAACCAGAAGCAAGCACATGAACACAGAGAAACAACAATCATTAAGGAAGAAACAGCATTATTAGATCCTGATCGTTACCATCAGAGGTAAATATTAATCTCTGATTTAAGTCACTCACATGCTCTCCTTTGGCTCCTTTGGCGCCCTTCTGCCCAGGCTCTCCAACCTCACCCTGAAACAATAAATAAAATTCATTTTATTTTACGCTCTGAGCTATTTTGACTCTTGACACCTTCTGAGGTGAAACATTCACCCTGCAGCTTTCCAAGAATCTTAAGCTAAGGTGTGATCTCTGTTACTTAGAGTTACTGGCCTTGTCTCCGTCCTCGCCAGGGACTCCAGCTGTTCCAGCAGGGCCGGGCAGACCCACAGGACCCTGCACCCCGTCCCGACCTGCTGGCCCAATGGGTCCTTTCTCACCCTGAGCAGGAGAAACAGAGAACAGAGAACAGAGAAATCAATAATTGATATTCATCATTAGCTGGACAGACTAAATTTGATTAAAACATCCAGAAGACTCACAGGGACTCCCTTCTCTCCAGCTGGTCCAGGTGGGCCCTGAGGGCCTGGTCTGCCAGGAGGTCCGATGGGTCCAGCAGTACCAGCTGGTCCCCGCTCACCAGGAGACCCCTAAGAAATACATGAGGTCAGCACCAACCACAGCAGGTTTTCATTAAGTGAATAATTAATTCTTAAGTTGGAAGAATGAGTAACAGATTTTAAAAGTTTTTAAAAGATTTCATAGTGAGAGACTTGAAAAATTAAACAAATACAATGATGGTTAATGTCCAAACTCAGAGTACGTTCTGTTCTCTCCTCACTTAACTGAAAGATCCAGATTTGCCTCCATTATTTCTGAACTATGAACATTTCTTTAAATGAGTTGTTTTTAATATGAACAGAAACCTACAGCAGGTCCAGGAGGTCCAGCAGGTCCTTCGCCTCCCTTCAGTCCTCCACCACCCTGGAAGAAATGACCATGCAGGAATAATCATCACACTCTTATTCTAATGACTGAGATAAGAAATGTTTCTTAAACACTTGGATCCTGGCTTGATGACATATGCTGGATCATTTATACTCACAGGGGTTCCAGGAAGTCCTCTCTCTCCTGGGAAGCCTCTCAGTCCTGGAGGACCATCTTTTCCAGGCCGTCCTGTGGGTCCAGGGTCCCCCTTGGTGCCCTCTTTCCCTGAGGGACCAGGAAGCCCCTGCTCACCGGGTGGACCTAGAGGTCCGGGATGGCCACGCTCGCCCATGGGGCCGGTCTCTCCTGATGGGCCCTGGAAGATGGACATGGACAGGGTTGAGAGAAGAAGAAAGCAATGATGGAAGGAAGAATGCAAAGCAGCAGGGTGTGAATATGGAGAAGTGTGTAAGTTGGCTCGTGATGTGATTTACTGTAACAGTAACAGTATGTGCACCACGATGAATGCACTCACCTGAGGTCCAACAACTCCAGGAGGCCCAGGTGGACCCATTTTACCTTGGAAACCCTGCAAGACACAAACTCAGTTAACAGTTTATCTAGAAAACACAGACGCTCAGATCTGAAAGGCAAAGACGTGTCCACTCATAACCATCATCACAGTCTGCGACTGAGATGAACTTGGAAAGAAAAATCTGCTGTGATGACTTTTTTTGTTTATTTGACACAAAACACAAATAATTCTTCTCCATAAATACAGATTCAAGCATCTCTGTGCATTAAATTTCACAGATCACTACTTAAATACTTCAGACAGACAGAAGACAGCAAAGCTGGGAGGAAGGCATGCAGTCAGTGGTCTGGATTAAAACCCACATCTATGGCATATGGGCCACCTGCTCCACTCAGTGAGCTCAGGTGGAGGCACCTCTAAGAAAGAAAAATAAATAAATGAATTAATAAAAAATACAAATTTAACTTACAACTTCTCCTCTCTGCCCGGGATGTCCTGGCAGGCCATCCTTTCCTGGTGGTCCCTGTAATAAAACAATAAACAAATTTTATCAAACTGTACAAAGCACCTCAGTTTTTTTATTATTTTTATCAGTGATATCACCCTGAATTTGTAACATTACTAAAATCAGTCTGTGAGGAACCGTAAATGAAAACGTTTACTTACAGGAGGTCCCTTTGGTCCGGGGAAACCATTGGCTCCCTGAGGTCCTGGCAATCCCTGAGAAATCATATGTGGTAAAGTAAGAACATTAAATACACGACTCAAATTTAAAAGTAAGTTTTTCCAAGCAGGACACACTTCTGTGAACTTCAACACTCACCCTCTCTCCAGGAGGACCATGAGGTCCATCACTTCCTGAGGTTCCCTGACAGGAGCAATAGAAGAAGAATGACTTAAATACAAACTCTTCTTTTCTTTATTTAAATTATTTACAGGCAAAAATCAAAAGCAATAAATGTAAATGGCATCGAGGGTTTTTAAGCAAGTCTTGTTTAAAAAAATCCAGCTCTGACATTTTTGTTCAAATATTTATATAAAGATGAGATACGAATAATTTCTTTCACACATTCATGTAAAATATGAAGTGAAAACAGGATTCATCAGTAAATCACAGTGTGGGCAGTTTGTTTCAGGTGTGCAGACCAACCTTTGCTCCTGGTTTCCCCGTGGCCCCCCTCGGCCCTCTCTGCCCTCGGGGGCCCTGATGGTCAAAAACAGCACATATAGTTAAGTTACTACGATACTCAAATCATTTGAAGGAATAATTAAACAACTCTGTGTTTCTGCTGATCACCAGAGGTTACACTGATGATGGGTGATGCACTGATAGGTTATTCTTTAACGCTGTGAGCAGAGCAGCTTCTAAACCCTGAGCATAATAAACAGAAAAAGTACCGTCGGGCCTCTCTGTCCTCTCGGACCTGGTTTGCCGGAAGTACCCTGAAGAAAATCAGACAGACAGTTAACATTAAACATTAGTTAACATTAGAACTTTTGTTATAACCTGAGAAACTTTATCCTTGTTAAGTTTAAATGTCTGAGTTTTTATGTTCTTCCACAGAGACGTCGTCTTACCCTTGTTCCCTTCTCGCCGTTTGAACCAGGGAATCCTGGGAATCCAAGAGATCCCTAAAAATAAACCAACATGTCAGGATCAGCTGTTCCATCAGGATCAACCACTGATTCAGTGCTAATGAAAGGCTTGTGCTTCTCTTACCTTTGGTCCTTGTCTTCCAGGATATCCAGGAACTCCAGGTACACCGAGTTTACCCTGGAAACAAACGATGACGTCATCAATCACAGCAGGTGTGACTGGGTTTTCTAACCTGCTTCACTACAAACCAGCTAGTTATGACTGATTAATGCTGGCATGTAGGTGAGAAAGCTGAGAAGCACTCAACATGATGCACAGGTGTAACAGTCACATTATCTTGTAATGAAGTTCATGTTATAAAGTTAAATGTCAGGTTTAATGGAGAAATTCACATCAATAAAACATAAAAACCCTCAAATATTTAGAAAAATTCAAATAAATACCTGTTTCAGATCCCAGGTACAGGTGAAATATAATTCTTACACAAGTTCCTTATAAAAGTATTAAATGATGGTCCGAATAATAAAAATAATTACTTTTATGCAGTCTTGCTGTAATGAAACAGTTCATACCTTCTCACCAATCAGTCCAATAGCTCCAACCTCACCGGGGGGTCCAACACGACCCTTTGGCCCCTCCGGGCCGTCCTCTCCTCTGGGCCCTGATACTCCAATCTCTCCCTGTAAGAGATCAGAGTGGAAACACAGCTGTGAGATTAAATCTGTGCTGTACACAAAGCAATAACTCAAAGCAAATATTAACATGGGTTAGATTAAAAATCTGGACCATCCAGTCCTTCATTCAGCCATCTAGTGTTACATTAAAGAACCAGCCAACTGACCAATCAGCTGCTTCGTTATTCAGACTTTACCCTCTCTCCCTTGACACCGAAATCTCCTTTAATTCCCGGGAAGCCGTCTTCTCCCTGGCAACAAAAACAAATAAAAACACAGTGAAAAGGAGAATAACACTGTACATCTTAAAAACATTAAATATACACATGATCTTGGTCAATCTGACTTCGGTTTTTCAAGATGGTGAATTGAGATATAAGGATATATGGTACATGACATCAACCTTGTTTTTAATTATATTTTTTAACCACCAAATGTTCACATTAACACGATGTTATTGTGTAAATGTGATATTTATTCATTTACCTTCTCTCCTTTGTGGCCTTTCAGGCCGCGGATGCCTTGTTCTCCCTGTGATCACAACAATTTCATAATCAATACATTTGCATTCTAATAAATCACATTTAAAAATTGTCTTTGCTAATTTGTTTTACGACACATTAAAAATGAAGCGCAGTGACCTTGACGCCCCGAGGACCAGGATAGCCGATAGCTCCCTGAGGACCGTTAGGACCCTGCAGACCAAAGAAAGCAGGTTTACAGCACAACACACACACTGTGGTAACTACGACCACAAGGACAAACCTAACAGAGGTTACAGGTCTCCTGTTAGGATGGATAATAATAGTAATATGAATGAAGTAATATAAAGTGATGGAGTTATGGCACCCACATGGTTTCCCTTGGTGCCAGGAGGCCCCTCCTTTCCTGGGTGACCCTGTAATATGAAAACAGAGAGTTTAAGGCTTAGAAACGACATCACCCAGCTTTAGGTGGTTCAACTTAATAAACGATATAAAGAAAGACAAACATACAGGAGGCCCATCAGCTCCAGGCATTCCTGGGAGACCTGGTTTTCCTGTAGGACCCTGGAGAAGGACACAAAGTGTATATAAGGTCAATAAATGCTCCTTATTTGAAACGTCTCATATCTGAATGAAGCGCGCTTTTCTGCTTCGTCGCTTTGTTTTTTTAGACGTCATACGAATGAGCGTCTCTCTCCTACGAGACAAGCTCACACGGTTGAAGTGTGAGCGAGAGAAAAGTGCAGATACAGAGAACGAGTGTTATTCTATGAGACTCAGAGAGCTGATACCACTGCTCGGTGGGGAAAGTGTTGATGTGAATGTGGTAAGGATGCACAATTTCACTTTAGTTTCAGAGATATTCATGCTGTCACTGTCACAGCTGCAGTGTCTGTGGGTCACCGAGCTGTAAGTGGTAGTCGGGTTGAGAGTGACTGCAGTCTTCATGCAGGCAGCTGTGTGCTGTACTGTGTGTGCATGAGGTAAACCCTGCACTTGATATCAAACTTAATTTAGAAGATTCATTTTTAAGTGGAATAGCATAAGATCATCATCTCTGACAACAACCATCATATTTTCACCTTTGTGAGATGTGTGAGTTTGATTGGTTACTATAATTCTTAAGCATCCAATAGACTCCTGCTGTAACAGGTGTTTAAAGATCTCTTCCTGTCACATGACATAAACAGTTGTTCTCCTCCAGACAACAGCACATCCGACTCCCTTTGTTTACTTTCTCGGTGTCGTCACTGCAGTATTTAAATGTCAGAGTTGGAGAATAGAGTTGAATAATGTAATGAATTAATAATATTCCAACTATTATATGACTGTTTATTGTTAAATACTTGTTTAGAGCCAACTTTCATTATGTAAATGTACTTTAAATAGAGTATGATGAATATCTAAGGTCTTACTTTCTCTCCTGGGGGTCCGATGGCCCCCTGAGGTCCCGGCATTCCCTGCAAAAAACCCCAAAACACCGTGTGACCTTTAATTAGTTTATGTAATTATTACAATTTGAGCATTAATCTTTCTTTTTATCTTTGTGTGCATGTTCCTGCATAGCTATTCCCATACATTATCACGTATCAGGTATGTGATAATGACCAGGTGTGCTCTCTCACCTGAGTTCCTGGGGTTCCCTGCTGGCCTGGAGGTCCTGGCTCACCTTGGGGACCCTGAGAGACAGAAACAGAAGAGGAGAGAATAACGATCAGCGCAGGGCAAAGTGAACAGCAGAGGAGAGAATCTGTCAGAAACTAGCTAAAAGAAAAGTTTTGTGTTAACATTCTGAGTTCTGATCTTAAATGTTCAAATACACACGATAACAGGATAACATGGAAACTGTTACTAACCAAGCTTCCTTTGGAACCGTGGGGTCCATCGTTTCCTCGAACACCCTGAGAGAAGATCGAGAGGAAGAAATTAAAAACGATTCCCCATAAATGTCTAAATGTCAGCTTCTACTCAAAGCATCCAGGGAACAGGAACTGAAAACATCATCTCTGGTGCTTTGCTCAGCATCACTCATAGAAAACGAAACATCTTGATGTTGATGCAGGTTTGTCTTTGTGGGCATCTTCCTATTTAAAGTGCAGTCGGCTAATTTTACACAAGTCTTTGGAAAAAAGTGCACAAAGTATTTGTGTGAAAGTGCTGGTTTGTACTTAAACATGTTATAAAATTTCAAAACAAATGTGAGAGTGTAAAGTAATAAAAAGTGTTCACTGTGTTTAACATTACATATTTAAAATCTGTAAGAAAAATACATGGAACAAAAACACTGATGTTCCTGCTTCTGTCATATTAAACTGAGGGAGTAAAATTCCCTTAAAGCTAAAACTTTACTTTAGCAGAACAAGCAGAAAGTTTAAATATATCATGCATTCATTTTTTTACATGTTGGTATGTTTTGAGGAGGCTGTGGGAACATCACACGTTCATTTTTAGATTTGGGATGAAACCAGGTTACTGGCTGTTGCTTCAGGTGGTGCTGTGGGCGCTCAGTGGTCAGAGTGGGGTAAAACAATGCAGCCAAAATAACAGCAGAAGGCTGGGCGTGAAATCGCTTCTACTCACAGGAGGTCCGGGGATTCCTGGAGGACCTTTGGGTCCAAGCAAACCACGAGGTCCCTGCAAACACACAAGGACACACAGGCGTCATGCAAACCAAGATCATTCACTCACACATACTATTGTTTTTAATGGAAATGAAAGGAAAAACATAAAGAAACAGAACTTATAAATAAAAAAAGTATAAATACAGAAGGAGCTATTTAAAGAGGTAATCTGCATTCTCCTTCTTTATCAAATCTAAAAAAGTCTGACCTACAACTAGCTGCATAAAAAACACAACTCCTTATTTCAGTGATTCTAAAAGCACGTTGGCTCCTCCTCCGTCTTTGTGTTACTGCACTACATTATTAATTACAGTAAAGATCCCTAAAATATCATAAAGGTGTGATGATTATGAAACAACAGGTGCAAAGGTGACCTTGTTATGTGAGATATAAAAACAGAGGCATGTATTTTGGGAGACGGTTTAAAACACAGACAATAAAAGCACGAGTAGAATATAAATAGAAAATAGTGGGAGGTGTAGAATCAGCTGGGCTGTGACTGAAACACTCACTGGTTCACCTGGGAGACCCCGAGGTCCAACGTCTCCATCATCTCCCTGCAAACACAGAAGAAGAAGCACGTTATGGATGAAAAGATGCTGATCAGCAGTGACACAATATCTGGATGTAATATTAATATTATAATATCTGCAGATCTACGTACCCGCTCTCCATCCTCTCCTGAGCCCCCTGGTGGTCCCAGTGGTCCAGAGTCACCCTAATAAAATATAAGGATGAGGCAGATGTAAATAAATGATTCTCCAGTGGTAATAAAGATTATAACTGAAAAACAATCGTTGTTTTTGAGATTGTTAGACGTACCCTGTGTCCTTTATCACCAGGCAGACCAGGAAGACCATCGAAACCACGGTCGCCCTGTGAAAGACACAGACATAAACATTACTATTATCTCACTGTGGAAAGTAGAAATGCATCAGAAACAATCTCAATACAATAACAATGAGTCAGCACACAGCTGAGGCCTCAGGATCCATGAGAAAGACTTTGATACAGCTGAATAATCAGGGAGAACAAACTGACTGTGTCGAGGTTTTGGCACCAAAATGACACCAGTATTTAAATTTTAATATCAATTCTTACTGGACCAATAAAAAAGCTACGGAGACAGGGTGGAGGCTTCAGGCTGGTGGTGTTTAAATAAAGGCAGTGAGGGTACCTTAGCTCCAGGCTCTCCTGGCATTCCTCTGGCACCATCAGCTCCAGCACGGCCCTGCGAGGAGCAGAGGAAGAACATGTTTAAGTGAACCTACGTTTAAAGACAGCTTAAACAGGAGCACAGGTGAGCATCTGGATGGACAAAAACCGGCTTTTAGAGGTTTTAAAACTTTCTGGTGACAGCCTGAACTGCAGGCCTGAAACGACACCTACTCTCATAAAACTTAAAAAATAAAAAATTAAATTTACAACGACAAGTGATACACACATCTTAATAAAAATGTCAGCTGTTCATACTCACTCTTCTTCCTGCTTTGCCTGGAGGGCCCATCATACCGTGGGGTCCTCTTGGACCCTGAAAATAAACCAGAGGCCCGTCAGAAGTGTCAGTTATAACTATGATCTCACAGACATGAGCTGAAAAGGTTCACTTAGAACACAATACAGGAGTAACAATAATAAAGTCATTAATAATTTTACACACAGCTGTTGTTATTTACCTGAGGACCGGGGTCTCCAAGCTCTCCCTTCAAACCAGTACTTCCTGGATTTCCCTGAAAGAGACTCAATCGTCTCAGTCTCATTTTA